ATAATTATCCAAAGTTTCCTAATATACTTTAAGCCCTTGATTTGAGCCCACTTGAGCTCAGATTTGACCATTTTTGATACTTTTTTTTTGTTTGTGTTACTGAGACGTTCAATTTTATTATAAGTTCACTAAAATTGGTATTCAAATTATCTTGAATTTAATTCTGGAAGTTGCCAACTACGTTATGCCTCCAGATTCATGCTGGATTAAGATGATTTTTTATGACGTATCAAGTATTAATTATGATTTGTGCTATAAAAAATTATTGAATTTCATTAATTTTTATAAGTATTAATTAAATATCAAACATATAAAAAAAACTAGGAAACATGTAAAAATTAAATTAAAAACCTAATTCCACACATATTTTCCCCCTCAAATAATAAGAAATACTCAAAATATTACTAATAATTTGAGTACTTAATTTAAATTGTGCTATCAAGTAATGATAATTGCCCAATAATTTTTTCTATGCGTGTGATTTATTGTCATGAAAATTTTAAATTATGTTTAAAGATGTTGAATAAAATGTGCAATTTTGATTCAATATTTTGAAGATAAATTACTGCATAAAAAAACCTTTTAAACTATATAACCATCTCATGCGTGTCTAGTCAGCTCTATATATGAAATTAGTATTATCATTTAATAAAATGTTTTAAAAATTAATATAGTAAAATTTGGATTGGATTAGCATGTTTGACCCAAAGTTTCCCCATGAAGATGGGGGCCCTGACCTTCCCCACGTGGACCGTACGGCACTTCCATTGAAATTTGTTTCGTTTCGGGGTCCACAGCTTTCACGGTGGAGATGGATTCACGAAGGCAAGAGACAGCTAATAATTGCAAACGCCGCAATGTCTTGCGGAAATAAAATTGGATTAGAAGAGCCTTTTATATATAAATAATTAATAATAAAATATTTAAATACACATTAAAGTTTGAGAAATGCGAAAATAAATATTAATGTTAAACAATTTCTCTTCTATTAATCTATGCGATAATATATTTTAAAATATTTTTGCATAAATACTAATCTTAATTAGTAACGACAATATTTTTTTCAACTTATTAATTGACTTTGTTGGATTTAGAGAGAAATTTTATTCAAAATAAATTAACTGTTACTCAACAAAAAATTGACTTGAGTAAAGAGTTAAATTTTTTATGCATCATCATAAAATTCACTCTAACAAATATTTAATTATATATTTTTTTTAAACTTTCAAAATTAACTAAGGATCATTCAAACTTAGATTTCAGTAAATTTATAACTGAACCGAAACTATTGATAAGACGACTCATCTACACAAAAAATTATTCAATCTGACTCTAACTAAACTTTCAAAATTAACTAAGGATCATTCAAACTTAGATTTCAGTAAATTTATAACTGAACCGAAACTATTGATAAGACGACTCATCTACACAAAAAATTATTCAATCTGACTCTAACTGTGCCCAAGCGCTTGAGATGCAGTTAAATTTTTATCTGACATTATTTAGATGATCAAATAATCTTCAATTCTTGCATATTTGTAGTCAGATCAAATATCTCAATAAGACAGAGCTAATGAGACTAATATCACTTAATTCCTACATCACTAAGGCACTCAAATTTCAATAAAATATCATATCATCAATGGAATAAAAAATTAATAACCTAGAAATATGTAAAAATGATTTTTAAATAAAAATTTGAAAATTTTGGAACATTTGAGCTAGAGCAATGTGGCGCTTTTCTTGTCAGTGCAGTGGTGCCTATAAATTGTAGTCTCAGCACTAGGCTTTTTAGAATTTTTGAAAATAATTTGGCACATTGACGCTAAGCTGGCACCGTGGCACAGTGCTATTTTACATGCAAAACAGCGGTGTTGGAGAATAGGAGCTATTATAATAACACTAATTAAGCCTCCCCCTCCCCCATTCTCGTTGGCTTGCTCTGTCCGCCATTTTTATTATGAGATTTCTTTCAATCATAGTAGGTAACCTGATTCCTACTCTGATTTTCAAAGTTTTTGAGTTTGATTAATTTAATCTTCTCAAATTAATAGAAATATATTTTCTCATGATTTATTGCATTTTTAACGTATTATTTTTTGTATATGATAAATATGGATTGTATGAGCATTTTCACTGTAATATTATTGAATTTCACTATGTGAATCAATAATTTTAAATTTATGAAATAAATAAATAGTGTTTAGATTTCCTCCATTTCATAGATTAATACATTTTATACATGATATTGACTTACACTGTATAGAGAAAATGATATCACGAATATGAAATAAATGTGACATTTATATGTAAATAAAATGGCTGGCTTTTAACATAATAATTAATACGACTGGGCTCTTAAATCATAATAACATGTGCAGGAGGATGAGCCAACGGGTTTTTCCTAAAACTATTATTTCATGCTAGGGAAGGGGTCATAATCATGTGGAATGAGGCTGTCAGGATTATCAGGTTTCTCTTTTGATTTCTATTTTTTGCTTTATTTTTTTATAGTCAAGAGTTTAATGAGATAAATGAATATTATAAGTTATCTCCTTACTATTGTAAATCATATTTTGATAAATGAATATACTTAAGGATTTTGTTGTATATGATTTATAGATTTGCTTCTGCTGAACTAATCTATATTGATAATTTTATACAAGTCCTCGTAGATTAAATAGGAGATAAAAGATATAATTCTTTTGATTTAGATTATGGAGTGTCACATAATACGTAATGTTCAATGGAGTATTCTAAATTAATTTTGGCATATTATAGAGAATGTCATTCTTAAAAAAAATTATAAATAAACCACAATTTTTCATTTTAAGTGGAGTGAAAGCTTGAACTTTAACTTCAATTTAGAGAGACATTTGTCGTTGGATTGCCGCAATCGGATCATCATCATTTAACAACCACTGTCTAATTATTGTCATTTAACCATTATAATGTGAATATCATCGCCACACCATCATCATTTGACTATCGCTGTCTCCTAACTGTGATCTCAAGACCACCATTGCATTATAATCTCCAAACTATCACAATCTTACTATAACATCCTAAGTAGATATAATAACTCATATTTTAACTCAGTCAACTAACTTTTTAAGAGTCATTATAAGTCTATTTTGTAAATCGTCTTTGCCATAATATAGATATTATTATGTTTTAATTTTAATAAATTTCTTCTAATTTTAGGGGTTATGTAGAAAATTGATACATGCCAGTATAAGTAAAGTTTTAGGATCGTTAAGTACTCATTTTGAAAACTGATTTCATTGAAATTTTCTTTAGATATGTTTAACTAATTTAGAATTTTTTTTAAAATTTATAGTCCCAAATTTGGAGATATAAAAGAATTTATATAAATTTTATCCTAAAAAATGAATAATTGATATAATTATCAATATACCCTATAGGTATTTTATTATAAAAATGTAAAACAACTTTATAGATTTTATTCAAAAAGCCATTATTTCATTCCTTTTTAGTTTTCACTAAGCCACAGAAGGGAAAAGAGTGATTGTGGGAAAAAGTGAGGAGAGATAAAATAGAACTTATGATTTGAATGTCGTAGAGCGATTTTTTCCAGGCAATTCTTTTGAAAAAGATTATTCATCTCATGATAGGCTATCATTATCGTACATTTGATTTCAATAACTTTGTGTATTTTATATTTTATAAATTTTAATTTGATTAGAATGTACACAAACTTCGATATTTTGATTTTTAACAAACTTTTACTGCATAACATTAGGTGTGATAAATGTTGTCAATATGAATATTTTGATTGAACATATTAAATTTTTACTATTTGTATATTTTGAGAGAAATATCTTAATTTGAGTCATTTGGATAACTTTAAAAATTTGAGAAATATTAGTTTTTTTATATACGTATATGACATATATATTAGTTATAATATAGCTACTGTGGATACATATATATGTAACATTATATATATATTTTTTTTATAAATTTCACTAATGTTAGTTTATATGTAACTTTAACATGCATTAAGATGATATAGTTAACTGAGCATGGAGTGTATTATTAGATATTTATTATATTATATATATGATGTGAAATTTGTGCATGTAAGAAATGCTAGCTAGGTAGAAATGATTGACTAGTTCAGGTTAGTCAGAGACCCATTATTCTATAAAGGAGGGTAGTCCAACAGGCTTTTATTTAAAATTAAAATAAAGTTTGTGGTATAATCCAAAATGAAATGAAAAGGTCTGTGTAATTTCTCCCAATTTGATGGTGGATTTCTTGATAAGGCGTGGCTTTGTGATTTTTTCTATTTTTTGAATTTTCTCTAGAGTTCTTTCTCAACTATTTTTATCTTATTTGTTTTGATTTGTTCACTCCTAAGACTATGCTCTTACTTTCAACCTTTAAATTGAGTAGGGACAAATTGCAATAGAGTACAAAATTAATGACAAATTTATTTCAATTTAATTATTGTGTAATATTAAATTATCATTCTTAACGCAATTATGCTAATAAAGTATTCATTTAAGTTAACATCAACTAAATAGAGTGGTAATTTAGTAATTATCAAAAGGATAAGAGTAATTATAAAGAGTTGCATAACATACTGTAAATTTGATGTAATATCAAAATAAAAATCTCAAATTTAAATCATATTAGCAAGAAATATTATTTAGATATTATATTAAATATTTTGATGGTATCTATAAATTTTATTAGAGAATTGACATATTTTCGAAAGAAAAAAAAAAGATAAATATTTAAATTATATTTTTATAAGTGAGTTAAAAAATTCGAAAAAAGGTCACAGATTTTTTTTACTGATTTGTCTCACTAAATAATATTATAAATTTATAATATGGCTTTTGATGTAATTTTATTTTCTTTTGAGTTTTTGTGTAATTACAGAAAAAATTACCTTTAAAAATTTGGAGGAGCCATTTTTCTTTCATTGAAAAACCGACGCTGACGACTATTTAAAAAATCCTTCGGCGATTTCTCCAACTAAATTCATTTTCCATCCTGCAGAAGAGCGAGCGAGCGAGGGAGAGAGAGAGAGAGACTCCGGAGAAGAAAGAGTGGAGATAGCGAGTAGGTTTAGGGGTTGTTGAGTATGATGATGCCCGGTGGGAATGGGGATGCCCTCGGCGGCAGGATGGCTGTTATGCCACTGCAGCTGAAAACGGTTGCGGCGGAGATGTCGGCGATGACCGGCCGGGCAGGAAACGAAGGGGGAGGCGTAGGGGGGCAGAGAACGAAGGAAGATAAGGTGTCCCAGTCGCAGTGGGGGCAGCAGGAGACGAGGGAACTGATAGCAATTCGTGCAGATTTTGAGCAGGATTTCACGGTGGTGCGGCGGAATAAGACTTTGTGGGAGGCGGTTTCTTTGCGGATGAGGGATAAGGGCTACCAACGGAGCCCGGATCAATGCAAGTGCAAGTGGAAGAACCTCATCAATCGATACAAGGTTGACTTTCCCTCTTTCTTTTTCTTCATATGTGAATGATGATTGCTTCTTTTTTGGTTAGAGAACAGAAATCGCCGCGGCTACACGTTATGGAATGAGTTTTTTTTTTTTGGCTTGGATCAAGCATATGATTCAGTAACCTTTTCTGATTAGTTATTATGATTTTAGTTAGAGCTTAATGGGAATCATATGTTCGATTGGAATATCTGAGTTTTGGCATGGTCGTGAAAGGTTCAATGTCGATAGTTTCGATAATTTCATCAGGATTTCAGTGTCAATTTCTTGGCTATATGTTTAAGGCACGAAAAATTATCTAATTGAGGTTCAATTTAAAATACACATGAACTTTAGTGAGATCTTAGTGGTAGAATTCAAGTAGAATATTGATTAATGCTGAAGACTCAAACCCTGTGAGTTTCAAGTCAAACAACTTTGTTTTTCGTGAAAATTCAATTCATCAAATCTCTCAAAGTTTCATCCAAAACTTTAAACCAACTAAAACGGTAAATATTAACTAGTTCATTTAGACGTCAACCAAAATCAATCCAAAATTACTAAAATCATTTTGAAACTATAAAAACTAGAAGTCATGGTGGCACCTTTTGCTGAAAATGTTGACAAACTTCACACCATAAAGCCCTAAAAAGATGCTACCACAAGTTCATAAACATATGCTATCACAAAATTTTAAATATAGGTTTCTATAAAAATTGCCACAAAATTTTAAAGGATGCTATAAAAGTCTTCAATGATGATTAATTATTAAGGTTAAGGGATAAACTCTTCCTTATATAAACTCTTGTAATCTTCACTTATAAATCTTCCCACAAATATTTCAAGCTTGTAATAACTTATGCATATATGAAAGAAGTTCATAGTATTTTTTTTCTCTAAATTATAATGAGTTTGCTGCCTACCATGAATATTGGCTAATTATTGAACCACATTAAACTCTTTTGTGCTCTCGTGTGAATTTTATTTTTTTCCCTTCTTGAACTTTGGAGCTTCTGCACAACAACTTTGTATCAGTAGCTTAATTAGAGAGTCATTTTTGTAACATGGTTTGCCTCCTGCACACATACATTAAAGTGAGAGGTCAAAATTGCCCCGAGATTGTTGGCTTCATAGATTGTGATGCTTAAGCTTTGGTCTGGAGCGAGCATTATTCAATAATATTCTCGATTAGTTACGCCAATTATAGTTTGTTTAATGAGTTTACGCATAGGTTTGATTGGATTATTTGAAAACCATGGGGGTTGCATAAAGCCCATTGGTTGAGTTATTGAGGGAAGTTCTATAGTTTACACAAACTCTTTTATATTTACATTCAACAAAGATTGTCGACCCCGAGAGAGGTCACTTTGATGCTTAAAACAACATTTTTGTTAGTTGAAGGAGCTCGTAGGTTCATAGGAAGAATTCTATGCAGAAAAGCTTATCCTTGTGAGTTTTTTGTATGACTAAAACTGTGTTATCTATGCGGCAAAAGTCATTCATGAGAACTCGGTTGATTTTTGGAAGAGTTGGAGAAGCTGTGGATGCACCTTTGATGCTCGCCAAATAGCCACTAGGGGATGGTGCAGTATGGGCAAGCTACAATGTTTACCCTCCGTTCTAGTTGTTGTTGGTTCTGTGTCATCCTAGCTCCTAGATGTTTGTTGGAAATGATGATCTTGATTAGCATTCATGATTTATGCTGCTGCTTATCATGCTATGGTGAGCATAACTTGTCAATGTTGGCTATTGATGCAAATATTGAGAAAGAAAAAACAAATGTTATAGTTTTTAAGGAATGAACATATAAAAGCTGGGCAGTTCGGGCAGAACTGGTTTGGAAATAGGCATGTTCGGAGGAGTGCTCGGGCACTTGGTGTTTTGGAAGGTGGATGGGGTTATCTGTTAGCCACACCCTTTGCTTGGAGATTATGGAAAGCTCAACCTCATTTTTGGCATATTTATTGAGAGGACAGTGGCAAGTCGGCCTTACGACAAAAGTTGGGCAGTCTGAGCTCCCATAGATGACGTAGAACAGCAGTCATTAGTCCTCATTAGGGGGACGGTCCTATCCAAATGTTAAAGAAGATAACTTATAGAGATAGATGAACGTTTAGCTTTACTAAATGTTGGTGTCCTGGTCTGGGAATCCCACTGATTGGTCTTAATGAGTTTGACAGATCACGGCTATTTTTAGGCATCTAGCAGTAACTATTAGTCGAAGAATACAATAATATGCTAATGAACTTTATTAAGCCAGGAGCAAAGATTTGTGAAACAAATTTACAGATTGATATTTCACAAGTTTTAACATTTGTTTGTTGAATGGTTCTTTAATTCATGTTTAGTGTCAATTATGTGTAAACTTGTTCGTTTCCAAGGTTAGGACATGTAATTAACTTTATGGAATGCAGGTATTGGGTCTTTTTTCTTAAAGTCTATGCTTCCGTATGCAGAAGAGTCCCTTTGGTTGTTTTCAAGAAGTTGGTGTGGGAATTTTTGGGTCAGTAGGAATTAATGTAGTCAATGGAAATGATGGTAAGAGAAGCTTGTAAGATAGAATAGGAGTCTCCTTCAAGTCTTGAAAGACTATTCTAAAGTTTAGGTGATTCATCACCACACATTAATCATGGCATATATCTGTATGGGTTTGTTTTGAACGACAATTTATTCTCGTTTCTTTCTGAGTCTTCATCTTTCCACTTTCTTAATTTCTTTACGGTACTGAGTCTGCAAAGCAATTTCCTTTAGATAGGTTGACCGGCAAAACATTTGCTGTAGATGGAAGGGGTAGATACATGAATTTTTAACGCTTGGCAGCCTATCTTGAAACCTACGGAAGCTGAATTTTTTGTGAAAACATTGCTTTTTTGCATTCCATTTCTGAATTGAGATGGTTATAAATTTATCATAGGAGTTGATACGTCATCTTGAAATTATCTTGATCGGGCACGAATCTCGAGGCAAAAAGCTAGCCGGAAACTTCAAAAATTAAATCCGGGATCACATGAACTCTGGTTTTTCCCCCTTTTTAGAGGTTTTCCACATAAAAACTTTGGTGTCTCTTATGAATGCTACACCCTCTCATTTATCTGTTTGTGTGCTGGATCTTCGTACAATGCTAAGACGTTAAACTAAATATTTCTCTACCGTCGCGAATACTCCAGGACGCAACAGGAGTAATTTGCAAAGGGTCATTCCATATCAAGTTTATCTTGTATGGAGGGTTCATCTTTTGGGTTCAATTGCTGGAAGATGGAAAATTGGTCTGACAGTGCAATCTGTAGAAGGTTTGCGTGATGCTGCAGGGGATCACTTCAATTTAGGAGCTCTTTGATTGGAAGCATTAGGAGTGTATGGCTTTATACAAGAAATTGCTTAAGTAAACATTTTGAGTGATTTGAAAAACTCCGCACTCCCTATTTTTCAGTTTATCTTTCGAAACTTAGTTATCGGATTTCTTGCTTCTAATGAAAGTATTTTTTTTCCTAGGATAACTAATCAGGTCATTGATTCCATAGTTTTATTAACGTTTTTTTTTTCATATTTTTTTTACGATGAAGCATCTATACTAACAGAAATTCAAGCACATGCAAATTCAATGCTTATAGCTTCCACCTTAGAAGTGCTTTTCATCACCGTGTCCTTATTTATCTTTTTGCCGCATCCCAATTATTCGGATGAAATCCTTTCCATTCCAGGCTATCAGTAAATTCAGTCTTCTCAAGTTATGGGTGTTCCCACTGAAAAAATGCTTATTTTTCCCATCTGTTTTCTGTTCTTGAAAATTTGCAGTGCTACGGGCAACATTCATTAGTCTAAATGTTGTAATTACTAAGAATCAATCTTCAAGTTTTTTAGCTGAAAACAATCTTCATTTTACCCATTGCCGAAGGTAGAACATTGATTGATTGGATTATTTAAATGTTTAGATTTTCCGCCATTGTCAGGTAGAACATTGAGAACCATTAAACATTTGGGTGAGAAAACTATCAGAGTTTGTTCTAAACTAAAGGCTAATGACTAAGGTTCTGAATTTTGTCAGAGTACAGAGACTGGTGAAGCTGAAAATGGTAGACATTGCCCGTTCTTCGAAGAAATACACTCTGTGTTAACAGAACATCCTAGTATGCAGCGTCTTCTCTTGGAATCAGAAGCGGGAACTCCCAGATCAAAGAAGAACCCAAAGAGACTTATCAGTGAGAGATTATATGATGAGCTTTCAGATGACGACGATGATGAAGATGAAGAGAGTGATCAAGAACGGCCCAGTCAAGGCAAAAAGAGGAAGGCGGAGAAGAGTGTTCAGCATCAGCAGCAAAGCAGAGCTGCTGCTGCTGCTGCCGATAAGTCAAGAGCAGCCAATTCTGTTCATGAGCTACTGCAGGACTTCATGCAGAAACAGCAGCAGATAGAGTCCCATTGGTGGGAGATGATGGAGCGAAGAGCTTTCGAGAGACAGAGATTTGAGCAAGAATGGAGGCAGTCAATGGAGAAGCTGGAGAGGGAGAGATTGATGCTCGAAAGGGCATGGAGGGAGAGGGAGGAGCAGAGGAGAGTGAGGGAAGAGTGTAGAGCTGAGAAGAGAGATGCTCTGTTGACTGCACTCTTAAATAAGCTTATTCAGAATGATCTATGAGAAGAGTGTGATGCTCTGAAGCCTCCAGATGGGGATCAATTCCACAATCCAGGCCTCTGCAGGACTATAGGTATAGTTTCAATTATATCATAGAATATAGAAAATATTTAATCACAGTTTCTTTTTTAAAATTTTTTTTGGAATTCTTCAACTTGTCTTAAGAGTTGCAGAAAGTTGTTTTATAGTCGGCGTGCCATTTCGATATGTATTTAGGAGCAGAGGATATAATTAATGTGTTATCAGAAATACTAACTTCACTGATAAATCTGTTATAACTTATAAATAATATAATTGCTTGCTTGTTTTTCTGTAGTGTTATATCTCATAATCTTATCATGTGGAATTTTTTATTTTGTATAGAAAGCATCTTGAGCTGATTATAGACAATGTTGTAGATTGATTTAAAGTATTATAGTAATTTAATTAACAAAATTTTAATGAAATATTCAACAATTAGGAGTAAATTAACTGATTAATGATAAAGTATTTTGATTCAAGTGTTTAGAAATGGAGGAGATCTTAAAATGATACATAAACTGAATATCCCATCAATCTGTTTCTTTCTAGTCTAGGCTGATGTTTTGATCTGTTGATTAAGAGTTTTGGTTATCAATCAAGAGATCTTGAGTTTGAAGCTTGTGTATTTGATATGCTTATGAGATTTTGCCTTAATTGGCTAAAATATCTCCCCCCTCCCCCCCAAAAAAAGAGTCAGGGGCAATGTCATTATATCTATACTTTGTAAATGTTGGTATTGCATATGTATACAAAAGTCAACAATTAAAATATAATGTTGGAAGATCATGTTCATGGAGCTACCCTAATTTAGGGCTATCAATTTCAAGTCACGGGTCAGGTTTGGGTCGAACCCGAAATTGACCTGACACTATTTCAAATCGTAAGAACGAGCATAGTTACAATCAACTTATAAGTGTTGGCCTCACAAGTTGTTCAGATAAAAAAAATAATGTGGGCCAAAAGGTACTCATTCTCCCTCTCTCGAAGATTGAGGAGAGTCCGAGTTGACTTGAAGGGGCGCTTGGAAGCGACACATTTGATGTTGAGTTGTTGTCAAAGCCAGATATTACGTTGAGAGATGGCTCATAAACCACCTATGATCATCATCTTTGAGCATTGTTGTGAACGTCAGACACCATAAGCTCTTTGTGGTCAAAATCAAAGTCATAATATCACTAAGATGGGTGGGGGAAGATTCCACTAAGAATAAATGTGTTACACTTCACATCTCTCATATAGTAACCTCAATGGTTATAATCTAACGTAGTTTTGAAAAGGCTTGAGTTGTCTTGCTACGTGGTGTGGGCGAAGGTCTCATGATGGAATATTTATGAGCTGGGCCAACTTAAGGTGGTTCAAAGGTGGATATCAATGTGGGGGAGCCAATGACAATGTAGTGAGCCATGTGATACATTATGGAGAAATTAGGTGTTAAGTAATGGAGAGATTATTCCGTGTGGGCCCCAGACGTAACTTACCGTCCATAGGCGAATTAGGTGCAACCAAGTCTTACAGTACCGAGCAGTATCGAGCCACGATACCGAGTAGGGGATGAAGTGACGCATTTTCATTGAGCTCTGGACGGCATTCAGTATCCGCGCATAATAATTCACGTAAGTGTGACCAGCATTAGATGGTTTTCTAGGCGAAACGGGGCAATCCAAAATGCCTCTTCCCATTCAATTAACAAAGAAACGTAACTGGTTAACACTCCATATTGCTCGATTCATAAGGAATACTCCACCATCATCTTTTCTTTTTCGCATCTTTATTATCCAAATATAGTATTAATAGTACATCATATATTTCTTTCTGCTTTATCTTTTTTAGTATGAAAAGATATGCCATAGGAAAAGGAGTATACATGCACTTCTCTGTAACAAAAAAAGTTTTTTTTTTTGGGGGAAATTTGGGGCAAAAGCCCATCTATTACTATAAAAAGATTACAAGTAAGAGAAGAAAAACCAACATAAGAACAACAAAACTCCATCATATATTTCTTTCTGCTTTATCTTTTTTAGTATGAAAAGATATGCCATAGGAAAAGGAGTATACATGCACTTCTCTGTAACAAAAAAAGTTAGTTGATTATTATCCCTTTTGATGCTACTACTGTTTTTTGTTTTTTCTTTTTGGGATATTTAGCCCAATTAAGGCTTCATTTAGGGAGCGATTATATTGTGCGGACACTGAACAGGAGAACCATCCTGTTTTGAGCTCGATACCGAGCACAATACATTATTTGGGGCGACGTGGTGCATTTTTTATTAGTCTCCGAATGAATCCAAACCCGCAGGTAATAATTTTTCTCATTTGGGACGGCTTGCTTACTGCTTCTTAAAGCAGTTTTTTAGAATAAAAATTTTTAATTTTTAAACTAAAAAACTGTATTAAGAAGCAATAAAAAAGCCATCCCAAACAAAGCCTAAGTCAGACTCAACACATACATCGTATATACAAGACTCAAATTCAAGATCTCTTGATTGATAGCCTAAGCTCCCAATCAACAGACCAAGATGAGCTGTGTGATATTATTACTTTTAGTTTTATACCATGCCTGAATGGTTCTGCTGAAGGATAAGAACTGTGTTAAAACAAAAAAAATAGTCTCTAATGTAGTTTTTTCATTACTTTCCGGTTTATCTCATTGATGGCTAATAACAAATCACTATAATTTCAAATTAAGACTGGTGAATATATTATAATTGTACAAGACCTTATATATGAATTTTCATTAAAAAAATTTTATTTTCACTGTAGATTGTTGAACTTCTCTTTATTTGTACGCGTGCAGGATGTTCATACAAGCTAAGAAATATTCTTAAGATATTAAACTTTAGGTTTGAACAAGACCGGAGTTTTTCTTGTTGGAATTCCCTTAGAAAAGTAAACGATGGTTTCCTCTGGGTATGAATAATTGCCCCGTCCTTTGTGTCAATGCCGAACGTCATCTATAGACAAATCAGAATGCGCCACGTCATTCCTTCGCTTGGGATAGCGGCTTGGTATTGCTCGCACCGCTCGGTACTCGGCTTGATACCGCTGACGTGACTGCACCTGATTCATCTTTGGACATAGAGCTACGTCTGGCATCCGCACATAATAATCTTTCCCTGCATGATGGGAACCAAACTGAACGCCTTCTGTTTGACTTGAAAATTTGCTGTTAAAGGTCAAAATCTGTAAATGACTCGAGATGACAAGTACAAACTAAGCGCTTTCATTTCGCAAATATGATTATTATTCAAATTTCGTGCAAGAAAAAGAAATAAATAAAATAAAAAAATACATACACTAATTTTCTTATAAAGTTCAGGAAGAAGATATCCCATAATATTGGATTTCATTTCCTGTAACAATAATAGTTCCTTATAAAATATAATTGCCCAACAAATGAGCCATCTTGTAGCATATAAAACTAAGTTAAACGTGCAATAAGAGAATACTTCTATTAAATAGTCTAGCAAAATATCAACGGGCGTTGGATTTTGGGTTGCAAAACCTGCCAGAAAAAAAAAAAGGTAAAAGAAATTATAAGCACATTAATAGATTTGCAAAACCAGAGAAAACTTAAAAAAGAAGAGGAAATATACAAACCCAACTATATATTAATTTAATATAATGAGCTGAAGTGCACCTTCTGAATACATTTTTGGCTAGATAGATTCTCTCTCTTTTTTTCTTAATCTCAATTTGCTCTTAATATTTTTAAATTATTTATTTATTTTTATGATATTGGTAAATCATTTAGAATTTTTATATGCCCAAATTCTCTTAATCTATTTTATATGACCTCTTCTTCAATAAATGTCATTTCTTTAATCTCTTGTTAGTTTTGTACACTTTCATCATAGGCTTTGTTTGTGATGATTTTTTTATTGCTTCTTAAAATAAATTTTTAGTACAAAATTTATAATTTTTTACTTAAAAGCTGCTTTAAGAAGCAGTATGAAAGCCAACCCAAATGAAGCCTAATATTCATATAGCATGGCTGGCTTTATTATAATTTATAAAACATTTAAGTCTCTATTACACTCTTATTGCCTAGAATTACTAAACCACTTATCCATTTAAAACATTCAACCATTACTCTAAAAGAATTTAGATATCACAAATTATCAATCAATCCAATCACTCACTTCTATAATCTAAAACAAGCAATGGTACCCTACCCATTAGGCATAATTGATAATGAGATGATCATGAATATCCAAACATTTCAGAAAGAATTTAGAAACAAATAATATCAAGGAGAAATCAGGCCTTTCTGGTAATCTAGTTTAGCGGTGGTGGTATTCACCAATTGAACCTGCGGTAGCGCAGGCACATATTGGATCATGATATATTTTGTAGCTTAGAATGGCACAAATGCAAATCATATTTCAGAACTCTTAAATAAGTTCTTTCCAGTTGGTATCAGCTAAGCTAATAAAAAGCCTATTGGAAAAAGCGACCCCAAATCATTATTGCGTTCATTATACTCTCAGAACAGGACCATATGTAGTTCAACATTAGAAAGCAGCGGTAACTATAATTGCTTTGGGGGTAATAACATTTGAAATGGTAAAATGCCTATCAACCAAAAAAAAAAACTTGTTTTGCAGCAGAGAGAGAATAACAGAGAGGTTTAATGGAAATGGAATGAACGTATAATTGCTTTAAAATATTCATGAGCAAGCATAAAATTATGCCTCGTAAGAAAAAAAAAAAATCGGGCTACTTTCTTCCTTGATTTCGAGACCTCATTTCTTGTATGAAGCAAATGATAATAGTCATAAAATAGGAGCAAATTTTTTCTCTTCTCACATGTTTTTTAACACAAAAGTCAAATCTAAGAAAAAACTATTGTCTTCTCTAAAAATCTCCTCTAAAATAAATTAAATCTACATGAAGCTGTAACATCTGTTTGTCGTGCTTTCAAACTAGATATCTGATTCAATTGTTAGAGCACCCTGACTACTGTCAAGGATTAAGCAAAATAAAAAGGTAGAACACCAAACCTAGTAAGCATAAATATTGAAAAAAGAAAAAGAAAAAAAGTATAAAACAGTCAGAGTAGATCCATATCAGCAAAGAACTATTTACCTTATGCCCAGGGATTCAGCTACGACGCTCCATTCGATTTCCGAGTCTGGGAGCAGTGTTCAGTACATTTATGAAAGGGATTTGATGCATTTGGACATGATGGATTCACATCCTTTCTCTCTGCAACTACCAAACCTTTTTTGCTAGACGATCCACCTGAGTCACGATAGCAGCACAATATAAGCATATATATTAAAATACGAAAAAGTAATAAAAACAGTTAAGGCACACACAAACCTGAGTTCCCCCGTTTAACTTGACCTGCGCCTTCACTTCTCTTAGAGCAGTATTCAGCGCACTGATGGAAAGGATTAGATGCATTAGGGCAGCTCGTATTCACCTTTCTATTTTCCGAAATCACCACTTTATCCTTTCTTCCACCTATTTCACCTAAAGAAAGGAAGTAAATAAAAGCACCGCCGCTTAAAACTTTGGAAAGAAACGAAGGGGTTCACCTGTAATAGTCCCTTTTAATGGCGACTTCCCATCGTGTTTTCTCCGTACGCAATTATCGGAACATTGGTGAAACGGATTGGACGCGTTCACACACAACGGATCCACAGTTCTCCGTCTTCCCCCTTCCACCTTCTCGCCGTTCTCCTTGCTACTAAGACCATTAGAAACTGCACCGATTTCAAGAAGAAGAAACATTAGAGCCGAGGACCAATATCGACGGAGAGAAGAGGATAGATGAACCTAAAATCTCTTTATTAGCCGGATTTTTTGATCGAGGAAGAGGTCCATGAGGGCAATACTCAGCGCAGATATGGAAGGGATTTGTAGCATTAGGACAATCTGGGTGCACCCCTCCGTCCCATGCCATACTCTCGCCTTTCTTATGGCTCGAGCAGGGACGGAGATTAGGGTTTTCTGTGAAAGCACCGAGGAGGAAGATATATAGAGATGGACGGTGGGAGGCGAGGAGAAGCAGGCCTAAGCTCAGAAAGAAGAGAAGGGACGAAAGTCGTTCACGTGTCACGAAAAGGTTGTAAAGATTTTGCAAAAATACCAAATTCTTCCGTCCCATTATCAATATTTTTAAAATTTTATAAATAAGAATAATGATATCTCATTTATATATTTAAAATTGTATCACAATACTTAAAAAAATTGTAACTAATAACAAAAATATCACTTACTACCTTTAAAATTACGCACATTTTTTATATTCTATCATGAGTTCTGTGTCGCTGAGTATGGCACAATGCCATTGCTGGCCCTTTTAATATTCTTTTTAGGAGAAATTATTTTATGCAGAGAAATTTTTCGTTCGAACTATGAGTATATAATTTGAACCAAATTGTATACAATAATTATACTCAATGTACACAGTGTGTACATTCACAATATAGACGAGAACTTCTTATCTGGACTCCACATGGAATAATTTCTCCCTTTCTAGATATTGTTTATGAATGATGAGAACGAGAAAGGATGATAGTCAAAATCCATTCGTAATGAGATTTTTCATAACTTCTTTTTCGATGCGATCACCGATCAAGGGTTTCATTAATTTCATTACAAAATGAAAAAAAAAATTTGAGTGCATCTTTAATAGAATAACTAATTCTATATATTTGTTATATTTTTTTATATCTAAATATCATTCTTAAAATATATTATTGATTTAAACATTTTAGTCTAGATATTTTTTATCCATCCGAAATATTTTAACTCTTATATAACTGCTAACTAGTATAAAAGAACAACATCAGTAAAATAAGTCGATAAAAAATAAGTAAAGAATTACAACAAAATAAAAATTTTAATTTATTTTCTCTATTCATTGATTGGAAGAAAGATAATATTTTCAGAAGATAATTATTACGATTACTGAATCTATTACACGATCGAGATATTGTTAAAAATAATAATAATTATCAATTTTCTTTACAAGACCAAAAAGTTATAATTTAAGAAAAGCTTGGGGGTTTTATATAAATTTCCGAGTTGTTTCTATAGGCCGATTCGAGCTTCGTTATCATCGAACAATTAAATGTGTTTAAGAACGTGTATTTCATTATTTTGACGCAGAAGGAAAGGAAGGAAGATGAAGCCAATCTACAGCTTTGACCAAAAGGGTATGGAAGAGGACAAATAAACAGTTGGATTCTGATTAATGTTGTACGCAATTGTAGATGAAAATTTTGCATATAATGTTTTAAATAATTTATAACTATACCTCATCAAAAATCTTCATGATTTAACGTGAAAATTTATGAAATTAATTTCGGATCCTCCGAACTCCGATCTTAGCAAACTTATAGTCAAATTAAACGTCTCGACAAGATGAAACAAACGACGCCAAAATTGGTTCAGGCCCAAATAGGCTCAAATCATGGGCTTGAAGCTTATATTATTAAAGCTTCATATTATTAATTTGATAATAAAATGATATTAAAATATAACATGCTTATAGTCAAATAGAGCGGCTCGACAAGAAGAATCCAACAAACGCATTATCACTTAATTCTGACATTGTTAAGACACTTAAATTGCTAAATAAACACTTTATGATAGAGTAAATCAATATGAGCCAACCAATGGAACGCTCTGGATATGCTCTTGTCTCATATTCACGGGGCCGGGTATGCCCAGAGGCGGAGCCAGAGTGGGGACCCTGGGGGCATGGGCCCCTGAGGGCAACTTCGACAAAGACAAAAGCGCCTCCAAAGTGCATGGAAAAGAGTTGAATCTCGTGGTGGCATGAAAAGCTAAGAGGGGTGAGAAGAAGGGGAAAATGTAGGGGGAGGAGGCGAAGAGGGTGAGAATCTGGTTGTTGAACTTGCAGTAGTTGCTAGTTTTGCTATCTTGTTTCATCTTGGTGTAGATGCCGAGGAAGAATTTCTTGAGAAAAAATCAATGAAAGTAACTCATGCATAACTAAGCATCTTTTTTTCAAAACTTAAAAGAACGGGCAACGAAAGATCTCAAGATAGATAGAAAGCAAACCGAAGATGTCGTGTTCGTAGCCTAATAAGAGTCCACCATTCAAGAGAAGAGGAGCAGTAGAGTAATCCTTGCCTCAATCCTCATAAAAATCAACAAGGATTACGAACCTCTTCACCTAGGAGAAGAGGCCTCATGATTTTTCTCTTTTTGTGTTTTCTACGTAAAAATTTATGGTGTATCTTAACTTTCTCAATTATTCGTTTGTGTGTTGGACATACGTGCATCGCTAAGATAAAAATTTCTGCAGCTCTATTGCCGAGAATCTACCATCCCACAGCATTAATTTTTAGTCAAAAATTAAAACTTGTCAATTGTGCTTAACATTTCAATATTCATAGTGGAGACAAATGGAGGGGTTTATAGTTCAATATTTCATATAGGCCTGATAAAAAAAAAAAATTATAATGTGTGTTTAATAATTATGTATTTAGTAATTAAATCAAAAAATATATATCTTTTTGTCAAAATTCAAATCTCATTGTCATTGATTCGTTGTTATATTATTTAGTCTCATAAAATATTTTATGGTTTTATTTTATTAGGGGGGGTGAAAATAAGTCAAATTTGAGTGAACTAAAATATTGCTCAGTTCGGCCATTATGCAAATAAATTTAAAAATTTATCTTTAATATATATATATATATACACGCGCATTGTTTTTATGATTAAATGTAGTGTGTAGACGAGTCAAGTCAAGCTCAAGTCACCCTTAAGGCCTTAACTTTGCACTTGAGCTTTATTCTACGAGTTCAATTGGTGCAGCGGCTGGAAGAAGCAAACCTGCAAGGAAAATAAGAACACAAGAAGAAGGAGGAAGAAGAACGAAGGAGAAGGGAAGCAATGGAACAGTAATTTGGTATATGATTTTCTGTCTTCTAACGTTCTCAGCTGCAGCTCATAATACCTCTACTCAAAGTGAGGTTAAAACAGTAAAAAGCAAAAGTAACTCTAATTACTGGAAATAAGTAAATGCTATAACAGAAATCTGTTATGAGGTAGTGGGTTTCCTCCCATCACGTGGCCACGTGGATATTCCACATGTGCGCTGCATCAGGTCTCCCCGTCTTCAAAAGAGCTGGTATCCAGCGAAGAACTAACGACGGCGGTATCATCAGGTGGATGGTATTTGAATTTGTCGGAGACATTGAAGGTGTTGGAGGTCTTGAACTCACTCGGTAAATCCACAATATAGGCATTATCATTGATGCGATGAAGAATAGGAAAAGGTCCTATCTTTTTGGGATGTAATTTAGCATAGTTGCCCGACGGGAACCGTTCTTTATGGAAACGAAGCATCACTAGCTCGCCCGGTTGGAAGATTTGCTGCCTTCTATGCTTGTCAGCCTGCTGTTTATAGGTGTCATATGATGATTCCAGTTTCTGCTTTACTTCCTTCAACAACTCAACAGATTGGGTGGCCTGTTTAGTTGCAGATGTGCTATGGCATTTTGGTAAGACTGCAAGATCAAGAAGATGATTAGGCATTTTTGTATACACAATAGCAAAGGGGCAGTGACTTGTGGATCGATTGGGCATCGAATTGTAAGCAAATTCGGCTTGACCGAGAACCTCTTCCCACCGTGAGGGACTTTTCCCAACTAAACAACGGAGCATGTTACCAAGTGTCCTATTGACGACCTCCGTTTGACCATCGGTTTGTGGGTGATAAGCTGAAGACAGTTTAATATCTGTTTTGAATATCTTCCACAGTTCACGCCAGAAATGGCTAATAAACTTCACATCTCGATCGGAAGTAAGACTCCTTGGGATTCCATGTAAACGGACTATCTCTTTGAAGAAGATGCGGGAGATGTTGAGGGCGTCAAACGTCTTTTTACAGGGAACAAAATGAGCCATCTTCGAGAACTGATCGACGACGACCATAATGGCGTCGGAACCGTGCTTAGTGCGAGGCAATCCCAATACGAAATCAAGACTTAAGTCCTCCCATATAGAATCGGGAATGGGTAAAGGTGAATATAGTCCGGTATTTTGTGCCGAGCCTTTATAAACTTGGCAAATGGGGCAACGTTCAATGAAACGTATCACATCTCGGCGAAGATGTGGCCAGTAGAACCGGGACTGTATTTGCTGCAGTGTTTTGTCTCTTCCCACATGAGCTGCCAACCCGCCCGAATGGACTTCCTGGATGATGTGTGGCCTCCACGAGGAATCAGGTATGCAAACGGTATTACCTTTGAAGAGGAATCCGTGCCGAATGCTATAATCGGAAACAGGGTGTCCGCCCATACACTGTTGCCAGATAGTTTTAAAATCGCTGTCTTCTTTATAAAGATCTTGTAAACATTGTAACCCAGTAAGTTCAGTCTGTAATTGTGTGAGGAGGGCAGACCTTCGGCTAAGTGCATCGGCAACGCGATTAAGCTTTCCCGCCTTATGCTTGATTACAAAACTAAATTTTTGTAAAAACACGATCCATCGGGCGTGAAGCCGATTGATAGTCTTTTGACTGTTGATGTATTGTAGTGCTTGATTATCACTACAGAGGACGAAATCTTGATGTAATAAATAGTGTTCCCATTGTTTAAGGGCCCGAACGACGGCGTAGAACTCTTGTTCATATGAAGACCATTTCTGCCTTGCCGAGCTGAGTTTTTCACTAAAGAACTCAATGGGCCGTTCATCTTGAGATAATACTGCTCCTACTCCCGTCGCCGATGCATCAGTATCTACCTGAAATGGTTTGGAGAAGTCCGGCAATGCCAGAACTGGTGCGGTCGTCAAGGCAAGCTTGATAGTTTCAAAGCTAGTTTGTTGAGCTTCTGTCCATAAGAAAGATTTTTGCTTGAGAGCATCAGTAATGGGAGACATAATGATGCTGAATCCTTTGACAAATCGTCTATAGAAATTAGCAAGTCCATGAAAGCTTCGTATGTCAGATATGCTTTGGGGAATCGGCCACTCAGCGATAGCAGAGGTTTTACATGGATCGACATGAACGCCCTCTGCGGAGAGTATAAATCCCAGGAAATGGACTTGACTGACCGCAAATTGACACTTGGTAGTGTTAAGAAATAACTTGCTCTGCCTTAACGCCTCGAAAACTTTTTTGAGATGCTCAACATGGTC